ACTAGTCAGAGGGGACCAGCAGGCACTGGGGGAGTCCCTGTTCCCCCGAGCAGTACCAGGAGTGACCAGGAATAATGGTCACAAGCTGGCAGAGGGTAGATTTAGGCTAGATATCAGGAGGCGCTACTTCACGGTCAGGGTGGCTAGGTTCTAGAACCAACTTCCAAGAGAAGTGGTGCTGGGCTCCTAGCCTGGGGGTCTTTAAGAGGAGGCTAGATGAACACCTTGCTGGGGTCGTTTGACCCCAGTACTCTTTCCTGCCATGGCAGGGGGTCGGACCCGATGATCTGCTCAGGTCCCTTCCAGCCCTACTGACTATGAAACTGTGAATAGCCTGCTGAGCCGAATGAAGTAGCCCTGTGGGGCAGATCTTTGACACCCTTCACTTAAAGAACTTCATACATCCAGTCTCAAGTTCAGAATTGGGATTTTTAACCATGTAATGAAAGCTAACATACTGCTTTAATGAATATGTTGTTCAAGATATTTGTGTGGTACTATCTAAATTCTCTTTTATAGAATACTTTTTTGCATATCATGTTCTATAGATCTGTATGATGTGTCACTTTATGTAGGTCAGTTTTGCTAAACCAGTTAAGCTATGTACCACTTAAACTTGGAAGTGCTGATTAAGAATATAACCTTTATTCTCTGCAATTTAATTTTTCTTCTTTTTTAAAGCACACGAAGGTGCTATTAGAGGGGTAGCAGTGGATGGATTAAACCAGTTGACAATCACAGCTGGTAGTGATGAATTAATTAAATTCTGGAAGTTCAAAACTACAGAACTAGTTCATTCTACTAATCTGGCATCTTCTCTCAGTGGGATTCTTCTTCATAGAGACAGGTGAGAATGTACAGCTGTTTCAAATACAATATTAGTTATTTTTCTGTATTTTTTTAGAACCACTAACTAGATCTTTTTTTCCCTTGCTTTTTGAAAGTAGTCATGCAAAGAGGTTTTTTGTTTTGTAGACAATGGAATCCTGTTTTTCTGAGAGATGTTTAGTAGGCCGTAACTTTTTTAGGGTTCATGCTAAAATATTATTTTCTGTTTCATCTTTGTGTATTAACTCTGGTTATGTACTGTTTTTGCCAGTGGTATTCTGGGAATTGCATCTGATGACTTCAGTATTAGTGTGTTGGATGTAGAAACAAGAAAGATTGTCAGGAAATTCTCCGGACACTTTGGAAAGATTAATGATATGGTAACTATACACATCAAATGCTTGCTTGCTCCAGGGAATAAAAAATAATTCACTCTGTAAATAGATATCCCTGTTTATAGTGTGTGTGTGTGTGTGTGTGTGTGTAATGTTTATAGTAAATTCCAGTTTATAGCAAATAATAAGGTATAAATATATTTTTTGAATATTTACATTGTATTCTGCTCCAAAAGCCAACAAATGTAAGGGTAATCTGACAACAGCAGTGATGTCTCCATATATTTGTATAAGAATTAATTTGGTTTGCAAATTTTAAAATGCTTATTATTCAAAAAGCTAATAGAGAAATAAGTATTGCAGTTTAATTACCAGAGTTCATATTGAGTAAAGACTTTGATTGAAACTTTATTTTTACTAAGATGAAAAAAATAAAAATAGATGTTAGGTTATTGGAGCCCGTTGTGTTCATCCAGTAGTTCAGTTGTCCATAAATGTATGAGGGCTACATAGCTATATTTATATTTAGCATGCATAAATGAATTGTTTGCTAATATGACATTGGTGGTTGCTTTTAAACTATCGTTTGGATTTGGCTTTGGGTTCTAATGCATTCCAAGTGTCAGCTGTGGTGTGTAGAACATTTTATTTATTGTTCTTTTTTACAGTTTGAGCAATATCATACAAGGATCTACAAGTATTGCTTAGAACCATGCAGGCTGTTGGATACCATATCCTACAGCCTTGGTTTACTTACCTTAATTGTCCTGAATAAGTTTGTAAGCATCTTTTGGCTAGACACCTACTTAGTTGATGAAGCTGTTGACCTAATTTTTATCTTAGTGAACTAAGGAAGTATATTGGGCGTGCCATTTATACCACAGATACTCATTTAGCTATAAAATGTATTGCAGGCTTTCAGTCCTGATGGTCGTTGGCTAATAAGTGCATCAATGGACTGCACCATTAAGACATGGGACCTTCCATCTGGATGGTAAGACGATTAAAAATCTGTAACAGAAGGTATAATATAAATCTCAAGTATAATGTCTATAAAACATAGTAAAACAGACTGGTTGGGTTGTTTTGTCATAAAAAAATAGGCTAAGAAATTCCAAGTTAATATTTGTTATATTTAAAACTAACTTTTGTCTAGTTCTTTCTAATTTTTCTGGTCCCTGTTATGAATCTCTTAATGACTAACAGTTTAAAATCTTACAGAATAATTGAGTCAGGTGCTTGAAGATGTATGAATAGAAGCTGTGAATTTGCTATTTTAATTCAGCTACAGTTTAAAAGGTTTAATGTCAGTTAAAAAATACCTTTTAGGGGTGCACTGATAGAGATTTTGGCAGCTGATACCAATAGCTGATATTTAAGGAGGCACATCGGCCGATACTGATCTGATATCCAATACAGCGGCCATCAGCTGGTAAATCTAGTGTGATGGAAGGGGCAGAGGCAGGCGCTGCCCAGGAGGGCAGAGGGGTGGGATGGAGGCATGGTTCATGAGTTGGGGGCAGCTCCGCCACTGCATGAACCCCGGGAGGGTAGGGGGCATGTGCCCCCAGATCTGCGCAGGGCGGGCTGCAGCTGCAGGGTGGACCCGGAGCTAGCATTGCGCGGGACTTTTCTTGCCGGGGCTGGGGTCAGAACAGGCTCCAGCAGCACTGGGAGGAGGCAGCAGCCACCAGCCCTGTGCCACCACCCACCACAGCTCCAGCTGAATGCCACACTTCCACCCAAGCACTAGGAAAAGCCGGGGCTGTGGTGGGTGGCGGGCTACAGTGCAGGGCTCAGAGCGGAGCTGCGGTGAAATTTGGGATGACTGCAGCCTCCTTCGAGCGCCACCAGAGCCTGCTCTGAGCCCAGCCCCTGTCAAGAAGAGCCCCACACAGCACTGGCTCCAGCTCCACCCCAGAGCTACAGCCTGCCCAGTGCCATGCAGATCTGGGAGCACAGGCCCTGCCCCCCCATCCTCCTGGGGCACAGGCAGCAGCTGCCCCCACCCCACGAGCTTGGGCCTTGGGGGCACTTTAACTAAAGCTCATCAAACAAGCTTTAGTTGAAGTGCCCCCACTGCTGTTTTGAAGGACAGGACACTGAATATATGTGACACTGCAGGTGCTTTAACTAGAGTGGCTCCCAGCTGCTCAAACTGAAGTGTACCCCTCTCTACCCTCTAACATATGCATGCATATATAATATATATATCACAGGGCCAATGCCCCATGTTTACTGAGGTTTCCTTGTATGCAAATGTAAGATGAGAGGCTTTTTTTCCTCCCATGCTGATGGTGGGGAGGGAGGGGAGTATTTTGTTTTGTATTTGAGTAAATACGGTAAGTGATAGTCAGTTAGGACTTTAAGGTGGTTTTCATAAAATCATTTTTTTTAACGTTTAAAAATTAGACTTTGAATGATTCAGCCTGGTTGTGTTTTTAAGAAGTGCTGTTAAACCATAACTTAATATGGTACCCTAGTAGGCACAATTTAACCATTAGTTGCAGGTTTTGAATTAAGGTTGTGTTGTAGAAAATGGACTTGTCATGTGATTTTTATCATGTGATGGAAATATTTCCATCAGAAGACAATGGGAGTATATTTCTTTTACAGCCAAGTGTGATTATCAGAGTAATAAAACTTTTTTCATAGTGGTTGTTCAGCACCATTCCAACAATGTAGAATACAGGTTATTGAACTAAAATATTTTATCTAGTTAGCCTTTTTCATTTTTTCCCCTACATTGTGCCAGACTAATAGCAGAAAGTGATTTAAGTATTAAAAAAAAAAAAATACTCCCTTGGATTTTGTACAGCCATTAGAGCACCCAGACGCTGGATTTTTCTTTGTATATGTTATAATTGGAGGACCAGGAGCCTCCAAGTACAATGAGATGATATGTGCTAAACAATGTCAGAACAAAAGATAGTAGCATGCACAGGTCACTGATGCACAGATTCTGACACCAGCTTTTGATCAAGAAGTGCTGCTATGTAAGGTGGAGGGAATTGACAAGCCGTGGCAGCATCTTGGCTGGAGAGAATGAAAACAAATTGAAAGGTTAAAACCACTCGGTATTTTGTCATGAAAATGCTTTCTTGTCACAGAGGTATTTTAAAATACATATTATTCAAACCTATTGTCCAAATCTATTGAAGTTAGTTAGTTAGAGGCAAGGATTTTTTGGGTGATACCTTTTACTGGACCAACTGCATAGTTGGGATAAAGTTAGAAAGCCTTTCAAATGCATGGTTATAATTGTCACAAACTACACAAAAATGAGTGCCATCTAAGAATACAAAGTGTTAACTACAGGTTATGAGAAGAAATATTGTATGCTTTCAGAATGATGACAGGTATGAAAATCGTATGTCTTTCATAATTTTTCTCCCCTCTTTGTAGCCTCATAGATTGCTTCTTGCTAGACTCGGCAGCTGTCAGCATTACCATGTCTCCTACAGGGGATTTTCTAGCTTCATCACATGTGGATGATCTTGGAATTTATCTGTGGTGAGTGCATAATTTTTCAGAGGTGTTCAGAAGTATTCCTATGTCAGCATAACATTACAGAAATTTCTTACATCACTTTGTCCATGATCTGTAAATAGAGAATTGTGACATAAAGTTTATTCTCCAGTATGTTGACACTGGACCTACACGTGTTGGTTTAAGCTATACTTATTATTTATTTGACTTTATGAATTTTTCTGCATTCTACCACTCTGCTGATCTGGCTAAGGCCGGAATACTCTTCTAGGTGTGCAACTGAGATGTAACATATGCACAATTGTGCTTTCCTGTCTGCCTGCTGTACTGCTTATGATAGATACCTTCATGTCATCCAGGTTGTGTGTATCTGGTTATTTTATCTGAGGAGCCTTTAATGCTAGGCTTTGTCTAAACTTGAATGATTTACTAGTATAGTTTAGTTAGTAAACATTTTAAAGGTAATTGTGGTTTATGTTTTGCAAATAGCCCATTTTTTAGTGTAACTTTTAAATGAGTACTCCAGACAAAATAAATGATACCAGCCAGAGGCCTTCTTTGCTGGTATAAACATCGTTTGTGAAATATCATGTTCTGTCGAGAACTTGGATGATACAGACCCACCCCCTCCCAATCATTTTTGCTGGTTTTAGAAATCGGAAGAGGAATTGTTCAGTAATGGTACTGCTTTGTGAGATTGGTTTTAAAGCAGAGTAAATATAAAGTACCTTAAACATTAAACCTAAACATGCTTATCAGATAGGTAAACTGCAAAAATTAAGTCAGATGATACAGGCCATGTTATACCATTCACTTACCATGCCAGTTAGCAGTGCTTAAAAAATGGTGCTCGCTGAACAACACTGATTTCCCAAGCCAATAGCAGTGTAACTTTGTTCGGTTACACTGATTTCCAGTAGAACACAGGAAGCGGTGTGGAGCAGCATTGTCTGGCACAGTAAGTGAGAAATATAGACATGACCATGGTGCCTTGGTAGCCAAGCCAGGAAATTTAAAATGTGGTAAACTTCAGGTAGTGACAGAAGTAACTTTTACATCATAACTTGCATTACAAATTGGAGTTGTAGCAAAAGCAAGTTGGACATTTTCTGTAATAATCGTGATGTTATTCTGATCGCAGAACTCTGATGTAATTGGAATAAGAAGCTTGGTGGGATAGCTCGCATGACTGGAGCACTGTCACGGATGGGTACAAACTGTTCAGGAAGGACAGGCAGGGGAGAGCAACAAGGGTGATGTTGTGGTGGAGGTAGTGGAGGATGAGGCTTTCTTTAAACAGCTAACAGAAGTTTCCAGATCACAGGCCCTTGTTCTCATGGGGGACTTCAATCACCCTGACATCTGCTGGGAGGGTAATACAGCAGGTAATAGGCAATCCAGTGAGTTTTTGGAGAGTGTTGGGAACAAGTTCCTGGTGCAGGTGCTGGAGAGGCCAAGTAGGGGCCATGCTCTTCTTGACCTGCTGCTCACA